TTTTTCTTTTTGATAAGGTAAAACTTTTATTAACCGAGTACCAAGCTGGTACCAAAAAGTAACACAAGACAACTATGAATATCCATACAGTCAGCTACAACATCTCCCTAACAATTCCAGAAAGTTCATATATTAATTGATACTATCAGTGAAGCTACTCTTACACCAAAGAAACAATTTATGCAAAGACTTGTTTTTGACTCTAGAAATATGATCTTTCTGCCCATTAAAACAAGCTCTATTTCTCTCTAGCCAAATAGTCCAAAATATTCGCAGAGGTATGGTTCTTTTTTTTTTTTTGATAAGTTCTCAGAGGTATGGTTCTCCAAATCTGCTTCAATGTTCTATGAGGCATGGTCCATGAGATCCCACGGATATTAAAAGAGTTCCCAGCATTGCCTTGTAAATCGCAGTCTTCGTCTCTTCTTCACACAAATAGCACCTATTACTTAGTCCAAAACCCCTCTTATGAAGATTATTCTGAGTAAGACAAGCTTCTTAAGCTGCAGCCCAGCCAAATATCAGAGGACGTTGGTCCTCTGTTACTTTAGCATGAGCTAATTATTAAAAGCCTCTTCCACGAGGCATAGGTACATTGCTAGTTTCTAGACCTTTCTGAGTCCTTACTGATATCTTCTTTACTTCTTTCGAGCCTATTCTAAGCAAAGACACTCTTTTATTGATGAGGTTTGCAGCTTGTTTGGATTGTTTTATCCGTTATTTTATGATGTATCAATTGATAAGATTACGAAAATGCCTTTAACTGCTTAAGTGTTGAATTTATGAACAACTTCTTTTCCCTAATTTATCAAACAATTATGCCTTATACATATATTAAGTTATTAAATCCACTCAACTCCTAATGAAATTAACTAAAAACAAGATATTAATATAAACAACAATAATAAGTGCACACATTTCATTTGGAACATAAATAATATTTCCTAACAACATGCATTCAAATAATCCATAGCATAAAACGCATAATGTAACATTTTCTGAAAACATATACTCCCTCCGTTTTAATTTAGATGATGTAGTTTGACTAGGCACATAGTTTAAGAAAAAAAAGAAGACTTTCGAAATATGTGATCCTAAAAGCTTAAGGGGCAAAAGCCTTGTGGGCTATAACATTTGTGTGGCTATATAAACTTCTCACAAGGGTAAAATAGGTAAAATGAAAAGTTTAAAGTTAAATTGTTTCCAATTACAGAAACGAAACGTGTCATTCTTTTTGGAACAGATTAATAAGGAAAGTGTGTCATTTAAATTAAAACGGAGGGAGTAATTCATATTGTCCATAAAATCCTCAGCATTTGAGCGTGTTGCTCAGCAATCAGTAGTAAGTTTTAGTGTGTTTTCTCCTAAGTTTCTTGGACACGGGTGCAAATCTAGAGGTTAGATCCTTCGAGATGTAAATTCTAAGATTAAGGGATACGGAACCTAATACGGATACGGGTGTAGGGATCCAGCTAAAAAAAATTCAAAAAAGTAAAAATATTATAATATCTCTAAATTATGAGAAATTTTGTGGAATACTTACGTATAGCTGGTAAGGTGTAGATATCTTTTTTATTCTCAAGTCAAGTTGTAGATAAGTAAAGGATTGATTTGCTAGATATGGTACGGATCCCATACGCACACCCATACTAGTGTCGTGTCGACACGGGTGGGACACCTAAACTGCCATGTCGGAGCAACTTAGGTTTCCTCAATATTGTAGTTCCATATGTCTACCAGTATGGAAGATTACAAAACATTCATATATTATCAATTCAGACTATAATCCAGAGTAAGACCATTAATTGCTTTGTTTTATCATACAGGTATGTCAAATCCGATAGATAAAAGTTACCACACGGATTCATAAAAAAGACAAACAAAAGACATGGCAAATAATTGTCATATAATCATTACACAAAGTAAAAAAAATAGAAAAAAAGAAGAAATCATGAAACACGTACACAATGATTTCATGGTCTTACCTGTGGTCTCAAATTGGACAATGCTACGGACAAAAGGAAAATGCAGTAGTAAAACCGCGAACCAATTTAATATGAACTCTGTGAATACTGAATAGCAATTTAAGTTATTCCTTTCACCTTTTATCATTTGGCTTTATAGTTCTTTCTTCAATTTCCTTATGCAGAACCCTATAGCTAGATGGCATATTTGTCAAGGTTCAATCAATAGCATTGCTATCTCAAATGATGGGTCATATATTGCAACTGTAGGGAGGGATGGTATTTTCTTCATCTGATGACTTTTGAATCTTTTTTTGTTCTTTTCATTGTTAACTCGGCTTAAAATGGCCTAATTAAATACAGGTTATCTGCGAGTATTTGACTACAAAAATGAACAGCTTATATGTGGTGGGAAAAGCTACTATGGTGCTCTATTATGTTGTGCTTGGAGGTGAGTGTGTGTGGTGTTGTAGATACAATATATATTTGTGTCTTGAAGTTGCTTTTTCCTTCCCATTTAAACTTAGGATCCTTCCCCTTAGTATATATTTTCTTTCTTCCTTCAAATTTGTTGTTATAATGTTTTGAGTAGAGAAAAGTTTTACTGAGAGTGCATGAACTGACAGTATGGACGGGAAGTACGTTTTAACTGGTGGAGAAGATGACCTAGTTCAGGTTTGGAGCGTGGAGGAACGTAAAGTAGTTGCATGGGGTGAGGGACACAACTCTTGGGTGAGTTTGTAGCGGATTAGCATGACTTACCTTTTCTTCTCTGTGATATTGAAGTCTTCCTTATTGTCTTGACTCGTGTCTGATAGGTAAGCGGAGTGGCATTTGATTCATATTGGTCAGCACCAAATTCAGATGGCACAGATGAAAGTGTTGTCTACCGATTTGGTTCTGTTGGTCAGGTATTGTTCAAATGAAGTACTATAACTAATGGGAAAAAGAAATTTAAGATGAGATCCCACTGGGGGGAGTCGAACCCAGGTTGCATGAAGCACTATAGCTGTTTGAATCACATTTGAAACTAGAATCTTATGTGCCTATTCAAGATGAACACTTTATCCGAGTTGAAGCTTATATTTTTCTCTTGCTCAACAAAGGAAATGAAATCAAATTTATCTTCTTTTTTTCCCTCTTAACCGAACATAACTTTGTAGTTTTCAGGTGAAATCCAAATATCCAGCATCTTTACCAGTGCGTTTCATTTGTGAATAAATATTGTAAATAAATTTTTTCTAATCGTAATTTTATTGTTTCGAGGATATTTGTAAAAATTATATATTTTTTAAATATGTTTTGTCTTAGTATCGTGAAATTTGTATTTCCTTGCTGGTAGCGGGTTGGAGCTAATCTCCACAAGGAACCTACTAAGCGGAGGATTTTCTCTTTAACATGCTTATCCGATAGTTGAGCCTAGTATGAATTGAACATACTTCTGTTATGGACAAAAGTTTTCCAGATCAGTCTGCAAATAGCCAACGTTCTACTTGGTTTGATTAGTCAGTAGTTAAGATCAAGCAGAATGAAAATCTGGTTCCAAGTAATCTTTAACTGTAGGTGAAAACCAGTCAGAGCAATGTTGGAGTTTGAGTCCTACTTTCAATATCGTGAAAGATATTATTGTTAATTGCTCTACGATCTGGTGCAGCTTTTACCTCCTTGATATCTCCTTGTTTGACTGTCTATAACCTTGATATATTTTTTCAGGATACGCAATTACTTCTATGGGATCTTGAAATGGATGAAATTGTAGTACCAATGCGCCGTCCTCCTGGTGGATCTCCAACTTTCAGCACCGGGAGTCAGTCGTCACATTGGGATAATGCTTGCCCCGTTGGTACTTTGCAACCTGCTCCAAGCATGCGAGATATTCCAAAAATATCACCCCTGGTTACTCATCGTGTTCATACTGAACCACTCTCTAGTTTAATATTTACTCATGAATCAGTCCTTACTGTCTGCCGGGAGGGGCACATTAAGATTTGGATGAGACCAGGCTTTGGTGAAAGCCCATCAAGCAACTCGGATTCTTTATTGAGTACCAGTCTTAAGGAGAAGCAATCTATATCGGGGAAGGTTGTTACTTCAAATTACAAGTAATGACATACATTATTACGGTGGAGTGCAAAAATGGAGAATGCAGTAAATGGAGGTCTTTTACATACTGACATTCACTGCTCTTCAATTAGTTTGCTCGATGCTGATAAGCATATGATATGAGGTTGTGCGGTGAGATTAACTGACCAATTGTATAGCGAACAATGAATTTGCTGCTGGGAGCAAGATGAGGTTGGAAGAAGGGTGCATACGTCGCGTGTAAGTATGAAATGTTAAGAGAATATTTAAACTGATAGGTTGAAATAATTATCAACATCTTTTGAGATGTGTCACTAGTTTCCACCCTCTCAGAACTCCTTAACACCTCCTATTTTCCCCTTTGTTCTTTTCTTTCTTTCTTTCTTTTTAGCCAATTTTGCATAGGAACTACTGGTTGACATTTGATTTGCATTGGGTTAACCTCATGTTTTGCCCTGTCCAACATTTTGGCCATGGTTTTATGGGGTTGATAAGCTTATAATGCGTTTTTTCATGGAATTTTTCTTTGTGCAAGTATAGTCATTATTGTCATTGAGCCCTTTTCTTTTTACTATATTGTGATTTTTGATGGAATAACTCCTTTCCATTAAAGGCAATAACATATTGTGACTTGGTAGAAAAACAAACTAAGACAATTAAATGTCAGCTTGTGATGTGTGGGGTAGGCGCAAAGTTACAGGTCCAAACCTTGTCGTAGACAAAAGCCTAATATTTAAGTGAAAAATGATAGAGGGATAGACTCCTTATCCACCGAGTTTTGAATCGTGCACGACTGACCTTCAGGGATTTCTCGGTAATAAAAAAAGATTATAGAAATATTTTTTAAAAATACTCTACTACATGGGAAGAAAGGGAATGGGGAGGAGAAGAAGCCTAGTTAGGATCCAAGCCACCTATATTATCTGGGAGACTCCCACAAATACCAGTAAACTATAACATGTGAACAAAGATGTGCCAAGCAATCGAATAGAAAAGTAGGAGGAAAGATACAATATTACATTTTTAACAAAAAAGGAAAGGAGAAAATCAATCTTAGTTACATTCTGATATTTACATTATTTCAGTTTCTCTTTCAAGCACTACCTATCTGCTGGAACAATGAACCAGCCGCGTAACTCAAAACTGTACAGTTGTGACTTGCAACGACTAGCTATACACTCCAATGATTTTCTTACACGAGACGGAAACTGTTTTAATCTTGAATATAAGTAGATTATCTGTTCCTTGCGTTCAGCTTCCATGCGCAGCTCCAGAAGTACCAGCTTCAGCTCCATGCAGTTGGCTTTCCACCTGGGGCGCCGGACTAACTTCAGATGATTGATTTGGACGCGTCCCTTCCTGAGATTCACGTTGCGAATTCCATCTCCTCCTCAATTTCAAAAGCTCAAGAAGAATAGAAGTCCCACACATTGTACCCCCAAAACCCACAAAGGTGGCAAGAAGAATCGATAAAACTGCTTGCACTCGAAGCTACAATTCCGAGCAAAAGATAAAAAGCTTTTAGTATTAGGTGGAGCCCAAGGCAATTCAAGAGAATCACATAATCTTTTTTCTTTCTAGTTGGCCATGTGTTTAAGTTTTTTGTTTATTTGAGCTGAAGCACTACTTACCACTGAGTAGAAAACATGAGCAAACAGAACCACCAAGCCAAACTGAATGACAGCATAAATCCAAGCATATCGTCTTATTACTGATCACGTAAAGCATGTAGTTTGTATGTTTAATTACCACATTGATATAAACCAACACTGTCAAATTTGAAAGAAGCTAGTGATCAGAGGGAATTTAGTTCATGTACCCATAGTTGTCGATGTCATGGAAGCAAAGAGACCCAATATGCATGAAAAAGGCAGAGATATAGCAATGGCGCCCGATCCCATTCTGGTAACCTGTAAACAAAAAACTATTTAGGACCCTTTTCTGGAGTAGGATAATATATTACTGTATAATCTTTGCTCACCAAAAGCTGCTCCAGAAAACAAAAGTAGGCAAGCATGCTGACGATGACAAGAACAGGAACATCTTGCCAAACCCTGTAAGCAGTTTTCATAGCTCAAGTAAAATACCATGTAATTCAGCTTAAAACTTTTTTATAGGTACGATGTAATTCAACTTAAACTATTTCATCATAACAACTGATACAGAGCAACAAAAGAAAGTTCATGCGTATACCTGTATCGTCCAGCTTCAGCTTGAGGTCCATTTCCTCTACGATTAGTACTTTGAATCCGCAAAAGAGTGACAGGTAAGTTCAGAACCTCTTCGTTGCAGACATCACAGATCTTGTTGCCTTTTATGCTAAACCATTTTATAGCACATTCTTGATGAGCTAAGGCTAGTTCACCTTTACAGCTACATTCCATCTTCAAAGTTTCCGAACCCTCCCCAAGTTCAACGAAGCAGATTCTGCAGACAGCATCTTCTTGAGTGATGTCTTCACCAATATTAGCATTTCCATCTGAAACCATAACACTAAGAAAGGTGTAGGTTAGTTATCCTAGGTGAGTCGAATAGAGGGTTCAAGCTGTAAATGCAATGCTGCATAAGAATACTGTTATCTAGATTTAAAGAATATTCTTTCTCCAAATATAGGTTAAGTACAGCTTCTTACAGCTACAAGATTTTAAACAATGATTATATGGATTATAAACGCTATAACTCAACTTCCAACAACTCTTATCCACAAAAATTGCTGTCTATCAGAAATTGGCGTGTACATATTCCTATACGCAGATGATCACCGAGCGGCCAAAATTTTATAAATCGCAATCTGTAGTATGAAATCCTACTTAGTATGGCCTCCTAAGATAAGTTGAGACAGCACTCCACTATATTCGTATGCAGCTGCTTCTTACTAGAATTATAGCTTCAGACAAAATAAAGCACGAATAATGTAACTAACAGAGAATCACAGGCTTGCAGAACCAAGCCCTTATTATATGACAATGCATCAAACATGATTATAGACATAAATTACCTGCGCTAAGAGTTGGAGTCGCATTTAATGATGAAGCATCATGTCTTGGCACGTGAGGAGTAGAGGGGACTACACGATAGATGCTCCCTATGTAATCCATCTGTTTTATGGTCCCATCTTTGATTAGTGTAGGCACTGAATGTGAGCGAGGTATGGGATGTCTAGCTCCTGCTTTCTAGTAGATGGTGAATTTGTAAGATTTTGGTAAGAATGAATTGTCCAGAAATTTTGAAGGTTATGTGAAATTACAAAGACCTTAATCTATCAAAACCTTTATATTTATGCCAACAAATCATAAGAAGATCCATGATCAGTATATACATCTAGGTAAACAAATTAAGACTTTAGAGTACTGTAATTGGAGAACAATAATTATGCTCGTCTTTTAACTACACTCATCTTTCATCACCCAATGTAACATACTCTCTCTGAGAATTTTGCATATAAAAAGACGGGCACACATATAAGAACTTACAACTGAATCGAATGCTGTATTTCCGTAGCCACTATGCGTTGATTCAGGATTAGAGTGTTCAATTGGAGTTACAGGCAACGATGAAGTTCTTTTCATCTTTGGAGTGAAAATCCTTTTAACAGATAGAGTCCTGAAAATCAAAGGCCTGTCCTGAGTTTGCGGAGAGGCTCCCAGAGCTAACATTGCAGCCTTTTCAATATCAGTCGTCCTATTCCGGAATTTGAAACTTAATTTAGGAAGGAGAGATTTGATTGACGATTTAGCCCTCGATAACGAGGGGCCTGGAGATCCGTTTACTTTAACATGGCTTGGGCTTGGTAATGGAGAAAAATTCACTCTTTTGGGAGTTTGAGTTGGCGACGGGGACAACATGTTTATCCTCACAAAATCCTCTATTGGTCCATCAACGGTTCTTTCCGGTACTTCCACAAGTAGATTTTGTTGTCTTTGCCGTTCGCAGAGTTGTAGTTCTTCTACTATTTCACTTGATTCACCAACCTAAAAGAATTTGAGAACCACAACACCGGAGTTACTAATCCACTTTTTGTCTCTCACCACACAAAACTATAACTGTATCAATTTGCAATGAAACAAAGATATAATCATGAAACACTTCTCCGATACAAAGATTCAGCACGCGGCATTGGTAACAAGAATTTGTTCCAAGAATGATGTTGAAGCAAAGATAAACAATTCATGCCAAAAATAATATACAAAGCAGTAGGTGATCAAGACACAAATCAAACCAGTTCAGAAATTCCTTGCACAATCCTAAACATCCAAAATCTTTGGAGTATAAGTTCTATGAACATACGGTCTAAAAAATATTTACAACATCATGTCACTTAAAAGTCAACTACAAGTAATTCTCTATACAACAACAACCAGAGGCGGATGCAGTCATATAGTAACAGGTTCAATTGAACCCATAACTTTTTACGCGGAATACAAATTTATATGTAAAAATTCATTGAAATTGAAACAAATTGTGAATATAAACCCATAATTTTCGGTATATATTAAGTTCAATACTAAGAACTTTAAAGGCCGAACCCACATAATTTAAGTTCTGAATCCGCCACTGACAACAACAACAATAACAACAACAACAACAAAGCCAGTGAAATCCCACAAGTGGGGTCTTGGGAGGGTAGTGTGTACGCAGACCTTACCCCTACCCTTGGGTGGTAGAGAGTTTGCTTCCAAAACACCCTCGGCTCGAGGGGAAGACAAGTAATTCTCTATACAAACATTAATTGATATCTTGAAAAAAGGGAATCAATTTCTATAAAAGGCCAAAATACACCGATAGTGTACAAAATTGTTTACCCCGTCGGTGCAATAAACCGGGCAGCCCAGTGCATGAAGCATCGCACATAACATTATCAGTGCACATAACTTGAATCCTTTTGCCCTTGAAGATATTTTTAAGAATACATAGAGAATTTTGCAAAAGAAAAACAATCCAAGAAAATCATAATTCAGCCTGGAAAAAGAGGAAATTGAGTGATATCCAAGCAAAAAAAAAAAAATCTCTTTTAGAAGGGAATTCAAAATCCTAACTCAAAAATGTTATACAAGCAAGAAAAGGATATGAATTAAGATATAGAAACCCAACAAAAGAATTTCTCAGAAAAAGAAAAAAAAATCCATAGCTCAAAGAAATAAATGGGTAAAAGCAGAAATATGAAACAGACAAACAAAACCCATATACAGTATCCTTTGTAAGCGTTTTACAGCAAAAGATAACAAGAAAAAAGAAAGAAAAAAGTTACCTTTACAAGAGGAAGAGGAGGATCAAATTTGCTGTTAAGGTTGTTATTACAATTCTTGTCATCCTCTTCAGCTAATGATCTCTTGTTACTAGTTTCCATTAAATGTAACAATTATCAGAGAAACAAAAAAAAAAAAAAGGAAGTAAAACCCTAAAGAAAATCTTGGGAACTGAATTTAGTGAAAGTAAAGAAGAGTGGCTAATGAACAGAGTTGCAAGCTTTGAGAATTGAGAGAGACATAGAGACTCAAGAAAGTAATGGGTATCATTCTTCTTGACTTATATTATAATTTGTTATTATTATTATTAGAGTTTATGTCAAAAGAAAAAAAATGCAAGAGGTCTTTTGTCAAAAATTATACTCCCCCGTTTCACTTTCTTCCCCCTGGGTCGAAGTCAAAGTATTTAATTTTAATCGCAAAAATCAAACAAAAATAAAATTTGCATGTTTAAAACTACATAGAAAGTAGTATAAGTCAATTTTTAGAGATAACATTTACATGTCTAAAAATTATATAAAAAGCATTATAAATGAAAGTAGTTAATAATTTGAAATATTAATAAAATATATAAGATGAGTAGGGGCCGAATCACCGTGACCGGGCCGGACGAAATTCCGGTGGAATTGTGGAGGTGTGTGGCCAGGTAGAGCAGGCTTGGAATGGCTAACTGCGCTGTTTAATGTTATCTTCGTGACGAAGAGGATGCCAGGTGAATGGAGGTGGAGTACGATGGTACCATTGTACAAGAACAAAGGTGACATTCAGAATTGTAACAACTATAGGGGCATCAAGTTACTAAGTTACACTACGAAAGTTTAGGAGAGAGTGCATGGTGGAAGGGAGGGTGAGAAGGTCAGTGTCTATATCCGACAACCAATTTGGGTTCATGCCGGGTCGTTCCACAACGGAAGCTATCCACCTTATCAGGAGGTTGGTAGAAAAAAGGATTTGCACATGGTGTTTATTGACCTAGAGAAAGCATATGACAAGGTTCCTATGGAGGTTCTTTGGAGATGCCTGGAGGTGAAAGGTGTGCCGGTAGCTTATATTAGGGTGATAAAGGACATGCATGAGGGAGCTAAGACTCGGGTTAGGACTATAGGAGGTGACTCGGAGCACTTTCCGGTTGTTATGGGGTTGCAACAAGGGTCTCCGCTCAGTCCGTTCTTATTTTCCCTGGCGATGGATGCATTAACACACCATATTCAAGGGGAGGTGACATGGTGTATATTGTTCGCTGATGATATAGTTCTGATTGATGAGACGCGAGGCAACGTTAATGAGAGGCTGGAGGTATGGAGACCCTTGAGGCTAAAGGTTTCAAGTTGAGTAGGACTAAGATAAAATATCTGGAGTGTAAGTTCAGCGATGCGTCGGGGGAAACGGACATGGATGTGAGGCTTGACTCACAAGTCATCCTCAAGAGAGGAAGTTTCAAGTACCTTGGGTCGATTATTCAGGGGGGTGGGGGTGGAGAGATAGACGAGGATGTCACGCACCGTATAGGAGTGGGGTGGATGAAATGGAGGTTAGCATCTGTAGTCCTGTGTGACAAGAAAGTGCCACCGAAACTCAAAGGCAGCCATGCTATATGGGGCTGAGTGTTGGGCAGCCAAGAATTCACATACCCAGAAGATGAAAGTGGTAGAAATAAGGATGTTGATATGGATGTGCGGGCACACTAGGCTGGATCGATAAGATTAGGAATGAAGATATTCGGGAGAAGGTGGCCTTGGCTCCCATGGACGACAAGTTGTGGGAAGCGAGACTTAGATGGTTCGGGCACGTGCGAGGGAGAAGCATAGATGCCCCGGTTAGGAGGTGTGAGCGGTTGACATTGGCAGGTACGAGGAGAGGTAGGGGGCGGCCTAAGAAGTATTGGGATGAGGTGATCAGGCAGGACATGACGCAACTTCAGATCTCCGAGGATATGGCTCTGGATAGGAAGGTGTGGAGGTCGAATATTAGGGTTGTAGGTTAGGAGGGAGTCGAGCGTTTTTCTATGTTGTTCCGGGGGCAGGGCTGGGACGATAATGTTTCGCTGTGGGTTGTTAGTGGTTTTTGTAGTTTCCACACTATTTGCTATGGCATTATTGGTGGTTATTGTTATTGCTTTACATCTACTTTTCTGTTTTTTACGATGATGGTACTATTTTTCCGACTTCTGTCACTAATCTATTGTCTATTGTTTATTTTCTTCTTCTTGAGCCGAGGGTCTTTTGGAAACAGTCTCTCTATCCCTTCGGGGTAAGGGTAAGGTCTGCGTACACTCTACCCTCCGCATACCCCACTTGTGGGATTTTACTGGGTTGTTATTGTAAAAAAATATATAAGAAAAACTTTGATTAAAGAAGAATAACATTGACTCTCCAAATAGTATATGTGCCAAACAAAGTGAATCTTTTTTTCTTTTTAATAATGGTGTCGAGGTCAATATGTATGCACCTCAACTAACTTATTCGACTGGCATACTTAAAGTCAGAGACAAAAATATCGGGCAAATTTATAGATAAAATAGAGTAACATTGGAGTTTAATATATTTGGAACCTAAAACCTATTTTGTTGTTATGTTATGTTATGTCTCAATCACTAAGTCATCTCTTAATAACAAATTTTATGTATATGGAAGTCTTAAAACATAAAATTTCTTAATGGAACGTTTGTCTTAATTATATCTAATGGAGAAGTAGGTTACAGGTCTATATCAAGTTCTCGTTAAGAATTAGCGATTGGTGATGATTAGGTGTGATATGAATCATTTATTTATGCACATATTTTAGACATTTGGCAATTAAATTGAAGATGAATTTAAAGTCCTTTTTTTCTTTTCTTTGTGCAATGTTAGCGAAAAACCCCAAGAAATTAAAAAATGTATGTTGTTTCATTTTATTCTTCTTCTTTTTCTTTTATTTATTGAGGTACGGTTGGCATGTAAATATAGTTAAAGAGATCAATAATAATTATAGTGGAATGGTAAGTACTCATTCATCCTTAACCAGAGGTCTCGAGTTCAAGACCTGAAAATGGTTCGTACCCTGAATATGAAATCGCCTTTGCGCTTTATCCTTCATTATTTTTTTCCTTTTTAAATGAGTAAAAGAGAGAGTATGAAAAAGGAGAAATTTTCATTCCATAAATTTTCGCTTACTTTGATTCCAAGAAACTTTATTTTTTAATTTCTGATGTCATAATAGCACTTAGATTTCAACCACATTTTGTTTTATTGTGTTTTCCCTATTATTTAATCTTACTTTCTTTTTGTTCACTTACTACTAATATTGTATCAACTCTGAAACATCATCTTCTATCAAGTCAATGTGGTGACTCAGTAATGAAGTTACCTAAACCAACTAACCCTTATAGAAATAGCTCCAGATAACTTTATTAAATGGACTTTGGAATTCCGAAAGGTTTTCGAAAATTAACGACTTATGTTTTCAAGTATTTAAAAAGTTGTGTTCTACTTTATGTGGCATTGTCGATGAATGATGGTTAAATCGCCTAATTTTTAATGTGTATTCAAAAAGAATTTTTAAGATTTTTAAAGTAAAATTCATTTAAAAATTACATAAAAATACTAAAAATTACAATAATTGATATTTAAAAAATCATGGTTAAAAAAACTCTTTTGACTCTACAACGGAAAAGGAATATATTCTCCAATTTTTGCAAGTGTCTTAAACAAGAACTTATTTTCAGAAACTCACACACACACATAAAAGTTTGTATGTATAAAATTCAAGAATCACTGGGCTCTGATACAACAACAACAACAGAAACAACAACATCTATCCAGTAAAATCCCACAAAGTGGGGTCTGGGGAGGGTAATGTGTACGCAGACCTTACCCCTACTCCGATAGGGCAGAGAGGCTGTTTCCGATAGACCCTCGGCTCAGAAAGACGGAAATAAAAAACAAGAAAAGACAATTCATTAGTAACTCCAGTAGAAACCGTAATAGTAACAGAAGCATAACAACCTAAAGATGAATGACATGCAATAACAGTAACCAGAATCTAAGGCCCGGGGCTAAGATAAACAGCAAGGATAGTGTGGATTCAACATAAACTGCAAGCCATCTAAGATCATCCCTAATCCAACCCCGCCTCACCCCCGGTATGAAGTAAGGAAAGCTCTACTACCCCCTAACCTACAATCCTAATGCTTGACCTCCGGACCTTCCTATCAAGGGCCATGTCCTCGGAAATCTGCAGTCGTACCATGTCCTGCCTGATCACCTCTCCCCAATGTGAACACCTAATTTTTGACCACATCGCAAATCCTATACTACTTTAGTGTACATATTTCTTTTAGGTCTAATCTTAATATTTTAAACTTTTTATCTTACTGTTAATAGGTTTTATTTGAGAAAATTAAAAACTATAAAAATATTCATATTCTTAGAATATAAGATTTTTTTTCCTATGTTTAAATAGAAGAAAATTTATATATATTTGGTTTCTTCTAATTTAGATGTAAGCTATAGTATTTTTAGTTAGTATAATTTAATTATAGTGTAAATATATATATATATATTATATATATATATATATATATATATATATGTGTGTGTGTGTGTGCGCGCGCGCGCGTGTATTTAATTTTATTTATTTATTTTAATTAAGTAAAATGTTAAAAAAAAACTAACTAACAGAAGAAGAAAAGGGAATGCTTTAACTTTATTTTCCTTCTTATTATTATTTTCAATTTATTTTTAACTTAGTAAAAAGTTCAAAAGAAGAAGAAAAGTAAATTTGAAAATTTTAAAAAAAAAAAAGGGAGTAAGAATCCTAACTAGTTGCATAATCCTTATATTTCTCAACTTCCTTCCATCCCCACTCCCTCACGTTCTTCCCCCACTAACATCACACACCTCACAATAACTTACCCACCATCCTTTTTCATAAACACACACAAGATCAGATGGTAGGATTTGAATATAAATAGCAAAAGCTTTAAAGAGAAAAGAAAGAAAAAATCCGATACACTTCACCATCCTTACCCCTCATCAGTCACTGGCAAGTCGAGGTCGTCCTTCGGAGTTCTTTGGTCGTGGTTTTAGTAATTTTTCGGTTGCAACTCTGTTTGCTCGAAGATTCTGTTTTCTTTCATTTTGTCAATAAAGGTTCTTTCCCTTGATCTTTACTTTATTCGATGTCAATATTACAGTTTTATCAATGTTTAAATGAGTTTTTTTTATATTTATTTGTTTTGTTTTTAGCATGAAGATTCCTTAAGTTTACTCTATTAAGTGATTAATCATTGTTCTGGATTACAT